TGGGATGCCCAGGGAATGAGGTGAAAACACCCGTTGGCTGATATAGGCAAGTGAAGCCCCATGGGCAGCTTGTCCCAGGGGCTGAGCGCTGTGGGGACACGGCTTTTGGGGAGGAGGATATGGGACAAGAGGGACATGAACCCCCTCACAGGGAGCAGTGTTGGGGTCTCGCGTGAGGCTCAGCTATGAGGGTGTCAGGAAGCTGCTGCTGCGGAGACTTTCTTCACCCCAGCAGGACGGGAACAGATACAGTTAGAAAAGTGTTAAGTGTAACAACACTTCAGCAGCAGCTCGCCGGGGCCATAATGGCTCCTGACTTTGCTGCCCAGCTGATTTAGTGCTGCCTTCACAATAAAAGTAGGCCGCAGAGGCACCACTTAAAAATGTAGGTGGTCCTGCCCAAGATGCCCCAAGGGAGCACGTTAGACACCCCCCAGTTCTTGGCAGCAGGACCCTGTGTTTCTACTATGATACAGTCCCTGAATCCTCACGCTGGGGTGATTCCAGAGTGCTGGGGACCACCATCCCCACACAGGGTGCTCAAAAAGCAAGGCTGAATCCCACAGAAATGATGTGTCCTCCGGGCAGGGAGGGAGTCCGGAGCCACGGCCTGCGGCCCGGCCTCCCTCCCTGCCTGCAGTGACATTTGCAGCTCGGCCACGAAGCTCCCTGGTGACCTTGGGCACCACCAGGCCACCTTGCTCTGCCTCTGCCCTGCGCGAGACGGGCTCGGGGGGCACCTGTGTCCCGCAAAGGGGCTTCCAAAACCGTTCACAGCACCAGGACATCCAGAGAGAGGCCTCAGCTCTTCCTAATTTATCAGGCCACCTTGCTCTGCCTCTGCCCTGCACGAGACGGGCTCAGGGGGCACCTGTGTCCCGCAAAGAGGCTTCCAAACCCATTCACAGCACCAGGACATCCAGGCACGGGAACAGAAAGAGGCCTCAGCTCTTCCTAATTTATTTCACTCTGCAAGTAGCCCTTTCCCAGGCTATCCCAGGAGCAAAACCCTGTGTGCAAGGCCAGACTCCTTCCCTGCGTCCGGGCTGGAGATGCCGTCTCTCTAATGTAGGACTAGAAATCCCTGTATGGATGGAGAGAGCCTATCCCAAATTCCACGTGCCCCCCTCAGCACCACAGGCTGCCTCTGGCTTGTCCTATTTAGCACTCTGGGCCCGTCTTCACGCTGTTTATACCCAGAAAATGAGGCAGTCCTTGGAGGAGAGCGGCCGAGATTGTGTTTGTTAGCACTGGCAAGCAACAGCCTTTAAAGAGGTTTCATTTGAATGAGTTTGCATAAAATGACTTCGGGGACAGGACAGAGGGACCAAGGGACAGTAAATAAGATGCTGGTCTATTAGCTCCTTTAGCACAATGGCCGGATTTATATACTCAGCAGCAGCACAAACCTCCGCTATCAGCGTTTCAGTGCTAATCATATTTAGAAGGATACGGAGACAGATGGAAATAAGATGCCAAAGGGCTGGAGCCTGTTTCGGTGAGATTAAAGTGTGAATAGTTAATCGCTACTTTAAACATCCGCTCAAAGACAGCAAGGATGATTCTGACTCCTCAGTAAGAGCTTGTAAGACACGGCTGGGAGAGACGAAGCTCCACGAAGCCCCGTACGCCCACCAGGGCCACAAGAAGCTGCTTTTAGGATCAGGTTGGGATCATGGATGGGCTCTCTGGGTATTGATCTTTTACAGGCCCAGCTGTGCCTTCACCCTGCAAAATTCAGAAGGACATTTGAGATGCTGGCAGTGCTCTCCCAGCAGTTTCTTAAAAATTCAATTATAAGTTAGCCCGGCCTCCCCGAAGGCCTCTCCATCTCCAGCTGGCGATGGAGAGACAAATGATGTCGCGATGTCCAGAGGGACGAGGAGGAGCAGGGAACATTGGAGAGGAGCAGCTGCATCCCCGCAGAGTCTACAAGGTGCCCGGGAGCGGGCAGAGCTGCCCTCCTTCCCTCCTTGCATGTTTGTCACCCGCCTCCTGCCCAAGCAGCCTGGATCCAGATAAAAAGCCTCTGAAGAGCCAATGTTCAGCTTTTCCTTCAGAGATTTGGCCAAGGAATGGCCCAAACTCTGTAGTTTCTCCCTGTTTTCTCCAAGCCACCTGCCAGCCTCGGCACCAGGGAGACAGCAGCTCCCAGCGCTGGACTCCCTGAGCCGGGATTTAAGTTCTTTTCTTAGCAGCCAGGTAACCTGCAAGGAGAGGATAAGCAGCGGGCAAAAGCACAGGGCGGCTGCAGGCTGTAAAGACGGCAGCCGAGCAAAGGTTTGGGCCAGCAGGACTGCACCGAAACAGGGCAGCTGGGCCTCGCTCTGGCTATTTGCAAAGCCTACGGGGATGGAGGCAATCGCAGAGGCGGGTGGAAGCCCCCGGCGTGTGCGGGGCGGCCGGATGCGACGCGGCTGCGGGTTACGGCAAACCGGGTCGTGCTGCTTGGAAAGCGGCTTAACCCGGAGCGCTGGAGAGCCGCTGGCAGCCAGAGAGCCGCGGGCAGCCAGCGTCGCGGCCGAGTGCCGGCTTTGCAAATTGCAAGGCTGTCGCCAACAGATGAAGAACCTAATTACTGCAATCCTGGCGAATCATCCCTCCCTCCCTGCCTCCTCATTCCCCACCAGTTCAGCACAAATCGCCTTTATTTAAACACACACACACACAAAAAGGAGAAAAAAAAAAAAAGAGGAAAGGAGGGGGGAAAAGTTTGGCTAGAAACAAAGCAGTCGCCATGGAGATCCCTGGAGAAAGGCAGCTCGCTATCTACCAAGAAAGCACCCGGAGAGGATCGGATCCATCCGCTTGTTTGTGTGGGAGCAGATGCTTGGCAGAGGGGACAGCGAGGGGAGATCCCCAAGCTCCTCCCTGCATTGCAAATCTCCAGGAAGACCCTAACCCAGCTTTGGGGAGGGGGCAGGTGCCCAGCACGAGGCTGCTTGATGCCTTGGGGTGGGTGAGAATCCGACGCCGTCCTCCGAGCAGGTCCCTGTTCCCTTCGCCCTTCTGAACCTCTTTTGATTTCCCTGCCTTATCGCAACCCGCCACATTTCAGGCTCCTTTTAGGAAGCGTCTCCTTGGACAACGAGACTGCGTGTGAATGGAGCGCTGCTGGAAATAGCTCCGGAGGGATCCTGCGGGGAATCGGGACCCGCTTTTAATTGCTCCCACGCAGAACCGCAGCGCCTGGGAATAACGCAGCCCTCGGCTTTCTTAGGAAGCAGAGCCTGAGTCAGCCCGGCAGAGGGGACTTAGCGCTCCCTTTCCAGCTGTTTTGGGAATGATCCAATTGTGTTCCACAGAAACAGGCAAAGAAGGGTCAGTACCAAGTTCCCATCTGTTTCCCCAACTCTCCCAAAGGTGAATAAAAGTTTGAGCCCGGGGGCTGTGGCACCATGGTCAGGCTGGTGGCTGGGATCACGCTTTAGTGCCAACCTACCTCTGACCCTGGCCCTCCGTGCCTCAGTTTCCCCTTGGCTTGCGAGGGGGCACAGTGTGCATGGGGTGCATTGGTGACTCCTTGGCCACGGGTCCCCCGAGGCCACCAGAGCAGTTCGGATCCTGCATGGAAAACCAGCAAAAACCTCCAAAACCAGAGAGGAAGAGCAGGCTCCAGCAGCAAGTTATTTAGAAAGATGTGGATTTGAGGAGAAAAAAATAAAAAGGAACTTCTTGCTCACAAATTAGCATTGACAGAGGAAGAGATTTTCTCGCAGAACAATCAGGGAGATTGCTTCTTATTTTGTTAATGAATAAGAAGAGTCTTTCCTGCAAATGATGCAGAGGTGACGTGACTGCTGCCTTGTCTCGGGCACACGAGGGATGTCCATGACCTCGGGGATGCTACGGCCTGAGCCGCATCTTTCCCAGGGGAGAGAAATGGAGGATCGCTGTCTCGGGAACTGCTTCCAAGGAAAGAGCGCCTGTGGTTCTTGTGTGCTGCTGGGAAAAGGGCTTTTTTAGCAGCTGTTTTCACACCCCATTCCATTTAAAGCAGGTGAAATGAGAGCACGGGTTTAAACGTTCATCTCACATGTTTCCCCTTCCGTTGTTTGTTGTCATCTCTGCTGGAGTGTGAATGTCTCTCTCGTTCGGTTGCAGTTAAATTTCTTTCTCCCATCTACCTCTGCTCTCCCCCGACTGCCAAGACTCACCCACCGTAGGCAGAGAAACATCTGAATTACCGAGGTCCCAGCAAGTCCCCTTTTCTGGGCTCTTCCTTCCTGCAGGACCATACCCACACCAAGGTGCTAAAATGAGAGTAAAAGTGACTTTGCCAAGGTCAGAATCAAAGAAAGTGGCGGATTTTCTTTTGCTGGAGTGTTTCTGCATATCGAGCTGTCAGCTCCTGCTTGGGGATGGGGGACGGCTCTGTACCACCTTATGCCACCAAGAAGCTGGAACAGGAGCTGTTCCAGCTTCCAGCAACCAGAGGGCTGAGCTGGTGCCTGTGTCACCCCAGGGACACCTTTCCCCCTAGCACAGACCAGAGGAGCAGGGTGTGGGTGGCAGTTTTCATCGAGGTCACAGTCCAGACCTACAGATTCGACTGGGGATTTTTTTATTGACTCCAAAGGGCTTGGAGCCAACGCTGGCTGGCAATTAAGGGATGAACTGCCAGCTTGCTTGGATCAGGAATAATGAGCGGGAGGCGAGGAGGAGAGCGGAGGGGCCGTTGCACCCACAGCAGCTCCGCTCAGTTAGCAATTCCTCCACTCCCAGTTTATGCCGGCTGCCCTTGCTCCTCTCCTGGCTGATTTTGAGATGTGATGGGTTCCTGCTCGGCCACATTGGAAATACATGAGTCCAGCTCACGGCGTTTCTGTCACAGGGAGGATGTCCCAATGGTTGTGTGTGCGGGGGCTCACTGTGTGCCCGGGGCTGTGCAGGTGTGAGGGTGTGCGTGCAGGTTTCCTCCGCAGGTGCTCCGGCCTCGCTTCCCTTCCCTTCCTGCCGGAGCCTGCAGGAACACGAGCGCTGACGCTGCTCCAAAACAGGATCTGCTTTTGCTGTGGGTGGCAGAGGTGTCCAATGCTGCTCGTGTGAGCCCTCTGCCAGATTTCAGGGATAGAGAGAAAAATACCTGTAGTGACAGCAGGGATTTAGCTACCTTCACCCAGTGACCACCGGCCCTGGCCCCCTCACCACCCTCTGTGCTGCTCACTGATTTCCAGCGCCGCACCAAGTTTGCTCCCGGAGGTTTTGAACTCATTTCTGTGCATTAAGTGAGGTTGTGGACCAAGCCCCACGAGAGAAAAGCCTCCATGGTCCTTCCACACTGGAGCACCATGTGTCTGACCACAGCAGGACACTTCCCACCCCGTCTGGGGCTGGAGGCAGGAAGGGCTGGTCCTTCTTCCCTCCCAGGTGCATGAGTGTCCAGGTGCACGGTGCATGGATCTCCTGGGTGCACAGGGTGTCCCATCCCAGGGACCCTGGTTCCCCCCGGAGCCTCCATGCACTTGGACAGGGCGCTGAGATCCAGCCCTCCCAGCCCATCCCATGGCCAAGGCACGAGGGAGGAGCTGCCGAGGGGCACCCGTCCCTGGCTAAGCCCTGCACGGCCGGTGCTCGTGGGGCTGCAGCCCCGGATGGCAGCCCGGGAGCGCCGGGACGAGGCTGCTGACAGGTTTCATGACGGCTTCTCCGCGGCCCCGCTGGCAGGAAACCCTTCCCTGGCTCCGTGCGGCAGCTGCGCTCTCTCCCCATCCCCTTTTCCGCACATGGCAACACGCTGGAGTTACAGGCCATAAATGGCCACAAATAACGTGTAATTGTGTAATTACTTCACTCCTTACTTACACAGTCAAATCATAAAGGCATCGCAGTAAATACCCTCTAATGACAGCCTAATTACATCTTCCTGCAGATTACTGGCTAATTAGATCCAGCAGACTCCAGAAATAATTCCCAGGGAAGCAGCGGTTCGGATTAGAGCGTACAATCCTGCCCGCGCGTACCCGGGAATTAGACTGCTGCAGTCTCACACAAGGCTGCACTGCCAGGGCAGCCAGGGCCGCCCGGCCCGGACACGTCCCCTCGCGGTGAGGGAGCGTTTCCATCCCGCCAACGGGGCCGCTGGTCCCCACGAGGCTCCCGGGATGCCCAGGGACCTGTCACCCCTCTCTGTGCAGCCTCTCTCAGCCTATTCCCCTTCCTCCCCGCGGGACCAGCCCGTGCTCCCGGCGGAGTTTTACGACTGACGTCAAGGAGCGCAAGCCGAGACCTTTAATACTATTTGCAGGAGACAATCTCGTTACTGCCTTCCGGTTCCCGCTGCGCCGAGCAAGGGCCATGAGGAGGCCGGCAGCGCTCCAGGGTGCGGGTCCGGCCGGCAGGACCCTCCGCCTGGGGCAGCCGTGAAGCCACTTTAGGCCTAAGTCCAGGAAACCGAACTCACTAGAGACAAAAATGAGCCTCCGAGCTTGGCTAATGTCCCCTTCGTGACCGCTGGGACCCAAGGTTGTGCTGAGCCATGGACGATGCGATTGAAGCTGAGCACCCGGGCTGGGACTAAGGTGCCCAGATTGGGACTCTGAGTAGGAGAAAATCCACCCGTCCTGCTGCGCTCCAGAATGGCACGCTGGGATTTGCCATCACTCAGTCTCGTTTCTTCTGGGAAACGTTTTTTCCTGCACCCGTGGAAAAGGCGAGCTCACGCTTTGATGGCCATTGCGGCGCTCGGGCCGCCAGGCTGCCTCCTCGCAGGGCAGAATCACAATTGAATCTTCTGCAGGGACATAAAGGACTCTGAAATAACCCATGCCACAAAGGAGAGAAACGTTATTTCTCAGGAGTGCTCCAGTGAAGCAAAGTCCCTCAGAAGAAAATAAAACCGGCCGGTGCCTTTGTGTGCCCCGCAATAACCATCTCTGCGTTATTTCATTAGCGGGCACGTCTCTCATCCACCGTTCCCTTCCACTTTCGTAATTGGCAAGATAGCAGGTCCCAGGCTCTGGTCGAGATCCTCCCTGCTCAATTGGATTCAGAAATAGGTTGGATCGTGTTTAATGAAAGCTAATTATAAACCTCGCTGCTGGGGCCTCCCCGGAAGCTTTGCCGGGTTGCTCCGTCCGTGCCGTGCACAGACCCTGCGACCTGCCACAGCCCCACGCAGCAGCCACCGCGGCCCGCGGGGGGGGGGGGTTGTCCCCAGGGCTGCCAGAGGGGCCGGACGGGCTCCAGGCTGTTCCTGTCTCCCAGGTGTCCTGCCAGACCCACAGCCCCACGCAGCTCCCGCGGAGCACGCGGGGTTTTGGCACCCGGCGCGATCAGCCGAGATCCCGGCCGTGGCTCCCAGCCCCGCGAGCGCTTCCCAGGCAGCAGCTTCCCAGGCAGCCACGGGCTCATCCTGTGCTTTTTCCCCTCTCCCTCCAGACTGGATCTTCGGCCCCAGCCCGGACGACAACAGCAACAAGAGCGACGTGAACTGCATCAGCAACAGCGTCAACGAGATGAGCGAGATGCCCGAGGCGCCGCGGCACCGCGACCGCCAGCCCCAGGACGTGGTCATCGCCGTGGGCGAGACCTGCCACCTGCCGCAGCAGACGTGACGGGGATGGGGCCGGCGGGCGACCCGGGGTACGGCCGATGGGAAGCGCCTCCTATTTAAGCTCTTGCCGCCAACAACTTCGCTGTTCCCGGGAGCATCTCGGCAGCATCCCGGGGAGAGGGGGAAAGCCCCACCGAGACCAGCCGGACTAAGCAGCGCTGCTCCCGCAGAACCGACCTGGGCAGGGGCTGCTCCCTTCCCGCGGCTGCTACCCGGCCAGGGGGACGTGCCCGCGGGTGGCAGGAGACACCGGTGCTCGCGGGTGCTCACACAGAGCAGGGGCTGGAAGGGGGCACGAGCCACGGTGACCCATGCTCGTCCTGGCTTTGCCAACCTCTGGATGGGGTGGGTGGCATGAGCCCTTGCCTGGGGCTTGTGGGTCCTGCCCGGACACCTCCCTGTGGGTTTACAGCCTTCCTTTCTTCCCTGTGAATAACAAAAGAAAAAAAAAAAATGCCAAATGAAGACTCTACCAAGCAAACAAAGATCCCGAGAGAAACGAGCCATAGAGGAGACGGCTGGTGCTTTCGTGCGTGCTTGTCCTGTGCCCTGGGAGATGGTGGGGGAGAGAGGGGTAGTGGGAAGACGGGGACACCATGTGAGAAACGCGGGTGTTTGTGCAAACTGCTGTTCAGTGACAGGGACACCTGGACACAGCAGGAACCTGGGGCTGCGGCGTGAGCCAGGCACCAGGGAAGGCACCACAAGGTCAGCGGTGACACATTTTGGGAGTCACTCCTCCAGTGTCCAGGATGAGAGCTGGCCATGCCAGGCCCTTGCAGAGCAGGCAGGTGTCAGAGCTGGAGGATTTCATCCCAAATCCCACAGATTTCCACCAAACTCAACATTTTGGAGCCATTTGGAGCCATGTCTGGGAATCCAATTCTCTTAGCAGTTTTGCAGCTCCTGACCAGGGAGCAAACCTGCTGGGATGTGGCTACACTGCAGGGAAAATAGCTAACGGAGAGATGAGAGACCCACCAGCAGCAATCCCGGCTTTTCGAGGCAGAAGGGAGCCTGGTTCCGCTGCATCCCTTAGACTCATCCCAGTGCAGCCACCCGTTGAGTGGCCGATGCCTCGAGGGTGCCGCGCTTGCTGGCTCTGTGCTGGGGTGGGATGCTCCTGGTCCTCCTGATGCTCCTGGTGCTCCTGGTGCTCCTGACATTCCTGACGCTCCTGCTGCCGGGAGCCATGCATGGGCCAGGGCACCTGGAGATCCTCCCGGGAGCGCCGAGGTCCTTCCCTCCCGGGTGCCGTCAGCGGATTGCTCATGTGTCTCTGCTACCGAGACCTGCCCGCTCCTCCCTGCCCAAAGGGATCCCTCTCCTTCATCACCTCCAAGCACATCCCGGTGCTCCTTCCCAGCAGGGCTTTTGTTTCCATTGCATTTTCCTGGCCGTGAGCACCTCAGCCCCAGCAGCACGCGCTCCCAGCACCGCTCCGTGCAGAGCCAAATACGGGGGCTGATTCACCCGGAGGTGCTGACTGCGATCCTGCACGTCCATCTGCTCCAGCAAGGTAAAACACGGTCCTCTCTGCACCAAGATGCGGCCACCACCAAGAGGAGCCTCTCAGGCACCGTGCCAGGGCCAGAGGAGTCAGCGAGGGGCCCTCCAGGCGAGAAGAGCAGCGCAAGCAGCCAGAGCCAGGGTTACCAAACCAATGGGATAAGGAGCACCCTGAGGGTTTGGGTTGTATTTTAAGGGCAGGAAAAAGGCCAGGAAAAGCTTCGCTGGATGGGCTGGTTTTCCCTTTAAATGGGTCCTCCAGGCTTTGTCAGCTGGACCTGCTCCCCCATATGTTGGCCATACAGACCCTGTGCATCCCCGCTGTCTCGTGTAGGTCCACAGGGGAACCATGGGAGAGACCCCCTACCCCTTCCCTGGTCCTTGGTCCCCTCCGGGGCTGGGGCACTGTCCCCCAAGCTCATCTGCTCCTGGCAGCATCACCACCAGCCGCGGGAAGTGAGACAGGGGCTTCCCGCAGCCCTTCCTGCGGGAAAGCAGTGGCTCCTGCTCGGAGATGGGGTGGTCCAAACCCCCCAGCATCTCCTAGTGCCGCATCCTCGGAGCCGGGCACCAAGGAAGGGTCCCAGCTCCCTCCTGTGGCCACGGGTGCGGGATGAGCTGGCACCAGCGCCCGCGCTGTGCCCCACAGCGGCTCCACGGCCGGGCTCTGCTCGCACTGGGGCGCAGGTAGGGCAGGGAAGCAGCTACAAAACACAACCCCCCTCCTGCCTGGGGGGGCCCTGAGGCTGGACCCCTTCTCCTGGGGGGACGAGGAGGCAGTGAAGCCCCTTGCCTGGGGCAGGGGAGGACGGGACAGCGGAGAGGGCTCCAGAACGGGCAGGGTTCTCCTCCTGAGCAGCACAGAGCAGGGGCCAGGAGCAGGGGGCACAGCCTGC